ATTATTAATAATCTTATATATATTAATACAAACCAAAAGTAATATTTCATTATTAGCGATTAAAATAAAAATGTAATAACAGTCGCAATAAATATAATTAGAACAACAACACCAACAACAAAGCAATAACAAGGTAACAATAGTAATGTGAACTTTTTTATTTTCCAAAGACAGAGCGTAAGTAAAATCAAAATATTGACAATGAAATAAAATTGAATATAGTTAAATATACAGTTAGATGAATAAAATAAAATAAAGATAAAGTGTTAGAGTAATAAGGATAGTCATCATTGCTCGTCATCTTATGAAAATAAGTACCATGATGATAAATAGTATAAAAAACTTCACTCATTGTTTCTATCACAGTACAGAGCATATGATGACGAAATTACACTGTTAATCAAGCTAAATCTAAAATAATCGGTCCAAGTTATATCAATTAAAGACATATTAAAAGGATCGTAAAAGCCAATTGGCGATATTTCAAAGGTAATAATTAAAATATTGCAATGCTTAAAGTCATCAATAATATTATCTTTCAAATTACCAATATATTTATTCATTTTAAATTGTTTTGATTTTATGAAGTTAGTTTCATGGCAGACAGTCAGTTCAAGTATCTCGATCGTGTCTTTGTTGCGGACAGCAATGTCAGGACGGAGTGATCTGAACAAGTCTGTTATTGGTCGTATCTTTTACCCTTTCAAATCCGCAAAAATCTCGACACCCGGCCTCGTGTCTACCATGAAATTATCGATAATTATTTTTAAAATTTTGTTGTGGCGATCTAAGTATCTGCTCAATGCAGATGATGAGCCACAGTTTGACATGACGTGTTTGTTCGTTTGTGTTGCATTGCAGAGCAAACATGATGCATTTGTAGTTTTGCCCCATCTGAAGAGGTTAGCGTTTGTTGGTAACTGTTGGATAAGGTATTTTTTGGTGAATTTATAGAGGACCTCTGATAGCTTTACAGTCGACCTGGACCATCGCGTTATCTCGGAGCTATTGATGTACTCTTTTATTGATTTCACAAGGGTACCTTGGCATTGCAGCAGCGAGAGATGATTAAAGTTCGTTTCATAATGTTTCTGTT